GCTGGTGTTCAACCAATGAGCAGCATGTTGTTGGAGAGACAGCTCACGTGGATGGGGGCGCTGGCTCGGCGAAGCACGACCGACATTGTGAGGCAGAGCGTTTTCGACCCCGAGAGTATGTCATTTCAGCCAAGAGAGCCGGTGGGCCGAAGACGCCGCGGCAGACGTAAGACGAGTTGGGCGAGGGGCGTTTTCAAGCACGTGCTGGCAGCTGCTGGTGGCGCAGAGAGGTTGAACTCATTGTTGAGCCACTGGCCGCAGAGTGAGTGGGAAGCCGTTGCGAAGGAGTGCTGCCGCAGTGGCGGCCAACTTTTCCCATGCTAATGTGCCGCTTGGTGCGCGCTGTCTCTTGCTTGCGTCTATGGTGTTTTAGCATCGGTCGTATTGCCAGCACGATTATTAGTTAATTTCCATTTTTCCCTACCTAGGCTCTGCCTAGAAGGGTTCTTACTCGCTATGCTTAAAGGGCCAGGCAGTGCAATGCGCCCCGGGCGGTTCCCCCGGCATCCGCCCCGCGGTTCCCCTGGCATCCGCCCCTGGGTTCCCCCAGTTGCGCCCCTGCTTAGCTTAGCTTAGAATAGCTTAGCTTAGCTTATCCCATCTTAGCTTAGCTTAGCCTAGCCTAGCTTCGCTTCGCTTAGCTTCGCTTCGCTTCGCTTAGCTTAGCTGATCTCATCTTAGCTTAGCTTAGTCTAGCATAGCTTAGCTCAGTTTAGCTTAGCTTACCTTACATGCGCTGACCTTAGCTGACCTTAGCTTAGCTTAGCTTAGCTTAGCTTAGCTCAACTTAGCTCAGCTTAGCTTAGCTTAGCGTAGCTCAGCCTATCTTAGCTTAGCTTTGCTTATTTCATTTTAGCTTAGCTTAGCTTAGCTGAGCTTAGCTTAGCTTATCTCATCTTAGCTTAGCTTCGCTTAGCTTAGCTTAGTTTTAGCCCATCTTAGCTTAGCTTAGTTTAGCTTAGTTAGCCTAGCTTAGTTTAGCTTAACTTAGCTCAGCTTAGCTTATCTCATCTTAGCTTAGCTTAGCCAAGCTTGGCTTAGCTTAGCTTAGCTTGACGTAGCTTAGCTTAGCTATATTAGCTTAGCTTAGCTTAACTTAGCTTAGCTTAGCTCAGCTTAGCTTAGCCTTAGCCTTCGCCTTAGCCTTAGCCTTAGCTTAGCTTAGCTTAGCTTAGCTCATCTTAGCTTAGCTTAGCTTATGCTGCTTTCCTAGGGGCTCCAATTCCTAGGTAGGGTCGCAGTGGGATATAATTTGTTCGTTAACTTATTCATACATATATACATGCTTCTCATTCGTTTTATTATGATGTTGGTGTTGGTGCAGATGATGAGGAGGAGGAGGGGGATCAGTATGATGAGGAGGATGTGGACAAGGATAGCCGTTGCCCTGCCCGACTCGGGGGCGCGGGTCCCCGTTCGGCCCCAACCACCAAGCAGCCGCCCGTTCGAAAACGCAGGCCTCGGCACGGCGATCTGCGTCGCGCATTTGGGAGTGATTGCGGCGATTTCGACGTCGAGGGCTGTGCAGCCGATGGGCGCAGAGCAGAAGGCAGCGACACCATGCCTGCCCGCCGTCGAGTTGGCGAATGCCCCCGGCACGACGTCGCGCAACCGAGGGTGCAGGGTCCAGGGTTGGGGCTGCGGACCACGTGGTCCGCGAGTAGACCGTTCGCCCGCCAGGCGCTCGCGATTGGTTTCGTCCCGGGGCCTCAGGGGTTATACTGGTTATGTGGGCGGCAGCGGTTTGGCCGCTGGGTGAGGCCGAAACGCTGAAAGGGGAGAGCGAGCGATAACGGCATCAATTATTTTCTTCTTTGTTCGGGTCTTGCGTGTGTTATTCCTCAGGCTTGCGCCACATCCGCCGACCCTTTATGAAGAATCGCGCAGTGGTCTGGTCGCCTCTTTGGGTGGTCTGAGGCCCCTGGGCCGTTCTGGGGGTATTCTTGGGTTGTCTTGGGGCCCCTTAGGCCGTCCTGTGGCAGTATTGGGCTGTCTTGGGGCTCTCTTGGGCTGTCATCGGCCTCTCTTGGGCTGTCATGGGGCGCTCTGGGCGTTCTTTTCGGCCGTCTTGGCCGTCGCCATCTGTTGCCGAGGACTGTGGTATGCCCTTGGTGACCTCAGAACTACTTTGCGGTGTCTTTTGGAACCGTCAGGGGCGGCCGTGGGGTGACCTTCAATCGTTTCAGGCCATTGTGAAGCTATCTTGGCCCTTCCTGACCTTAAGCGGAACCGTCTCGGCGTCCTCTGAGGCTGTTTTGGCGCGCCATGAACCTCTCGGGGGCCGTCCTGGAGCTCTCGCGGGTCGTCCCGTCGCCTGGTGGGCCCGCTTGGCGCGGCCTGGAGGCGATCTGGGGGATTTCGGGGTCAGGTGGATCCGGTGGGGCCTTCGGCCAGGGCCCGAGGGCAGGAAATCACGGACGCGAGGCATCTGACAGCAGACCAAACCAAGCACTATTATCAGACGGGCGCAGGCCATAGGCCAGTGAAATGCCGCGACTGCGACGCGCGTCACAAGCGCTCGCGGGTGTTCAGGTGTTCCGCGTGCCCGACAGAAGCAGATGGAAGAGGCCGGGAGTTCGCGGACAGGACGCATCTGACAGATAAGCAAGTGGAGCACTTCTTCGCGAAGGGTTCGGACCATCGCCCAGTCATGTGCCGCGCGTGCCAGGGGGGACGCAATCAGTCGCGAGTGCTCACGTGCTCCGCGTGCCCGAAAGAAGCAGATGGGAAAGAGCGAGAATTCACGGACAGGGCGCATCTGACAGATAAGCAAGTGAACGCCTTCTTCAAGAAGGGTTCGGCCCATCGCTCGGTGGTGTGCCGAGCGTGCCACGAGCAAAGGCAGATGGCGAAGAAGTTGGAATGCTCCGCATGTCCCGTGAAAAAGGACGGATCAAAGCCAGCGTTCGCTGACGGCGGCCATCTCTCGTGCGCGAAGTGCTATAAGGCGGGACGGGCGCCTCGAAGAGACCCGCCGAAACGCCCTGCGGAAGCAAGTGACGAGCACGGCGGGAAGCAACGCAAGTTGCGAGGAATCTGACCGCGAGTCGCGCGCGCGCGCGCCGTCTTCGGGGCTCTCTTGGGCCGTCCTCGGCCCCTCTTGACCCGTCTTGGCGCCCTCTTGGGCTGCCGCGGGGCCCTCGTGGAGGCTTCTTGGACCGTCTTGGTGCGGTCTTTGGGGGCTCTGGGGCCGCCCGGGGGCGGGGAACGCCCCAAAAGGCGCGCGTGCGAGAGCAACTATGCGTTTAACGAAGGGAACGGGCGTTTTTGTACGTCTAGAGGCCCTCTTGTAGCGCATCGTGGATGCCTCTTGGGGCGTCTTGGGGGCCTCTGTAGCCGTCTGGAGGTCGTCGTCCGTGTTTTTGATCGCTCTTGGACCGTCGGGGACCATGTGGAGCTCTCTTCGAGGCCACTCGGGGCGCTCCTGGAGCGCTGTCGGGGCCGTTTTCTGAGCCCTTTTGGGCCGTCTTGGACGTCTGTTGGCCCGTCTTGGGGCCTTCTAGGGCTATATGGGGAACCCTCTTGGAGGCGTCTTGGGCCGTCTGGGAGCGGGTTTGGGGGGCTCTGGGGCCGTCCGGGAGCGGGGGGCACCCCGAAAGGCGCACGTGTGAAACAATATGCGTTTTACGAAGGGAACGGGCGATTTTTTGCGCCTAGAGGGCCTCTTGGGGCGAATCTTGGATGCCTCTTGGGCCGTCTTGGGGGCCTGTTGAGCCGTCGGGAGGCCGTCGTCGATGTTTGTGATCGCTCTTGGACCGTCTGGGGCCGCGTGGAGCTTTGTGGAGGCCGTTCGGAACGCTCCTGGAGCGCTCTTGGGGCCGTTGTCGGAGCCCTCTTGGGCCTGTTGGCCCGTCTTGGGGCCCTCTAGGGGTATGTGGGGCACCCTCTGCGAGGCTCCTGGGGCCGTCTGGGAGCGGGTTTGGGGGCCTCTTGGGCCGTCGGGGAGCATCGGAAAGGCCCAAAGCCGAATTTGTGAAAAATGTTCACGAAGGGAATGGGCCAGTTTTTGCGTCTAGAGACCCTCGTGGAACGCATCTCGGAGGCCCTCGGGGGGGCTCGTGGGGGCCTCTTCTGCCGTCGAGGACGCCTCGTGGCCCGTCTTTGGGCCACCTTGGGCGGCTTGGAGCGCTCGTTGGGCGTCCCAGAGCCATGTCGACGCCACCAGATGAGTCCCTGCACGATTTTCACGAGGTTTTGCACGATTTTCGGGGGCGGATGACCCCTCCTTTCCCATCCGGGGGATCCGGCCCAACCCCCCCCCCCTCCAAATCGACCGGACCGGGCTCCCGGGGGAGGGGTTTGGGGAGGGATAACATTTCACACGCCGATGAACCCCAAGGGGTCGGCGGATTGCCGCACTTGCGGGGCTATTTTGTTGACCGCGTCCTCGAGATACCTGGGTGATGAAGGTGGGTGAGTGCGTGAAGCTGTGGATGCCGACGTGTTTATCGTTTTCTCGTATCCTCATCCCCTTGTTTTTGTTTTGCCGTCGTGGTCGTCGTCGTCGTGGACGTCGTGCCATCCTCAGCAGCTTACCCTCCTCCTCCTTCCTTTCCCCCCTCCCCAGTGCCCTCCTTTTCCTCCCTCTTTCTTCTCGTCCTCCCTGATTTCCTTCTCCACTTCCTTCTCCGTCCCTCCTCCTGTTTCTTCTTCTCCCCTTCCCCCCCGCCCCCTCCTCCATTGAACTCCACCTCCGCCCGCCTTCCCCCTTTCCCCTCCCCCCCGTTCTTTTCTTTTCCTCGCTCTCATTTCCCGCTCCTCCCCCTCCCTTTCCATTGCTCCCCACTCTCCTCCTCCTGCTCCCCCCCCCTCCCTTTCCTCCGCCCTTCCCCTCCTCCTGCTCCTCCTGCTCCCCCCCTCCCTCTCCCTTTCCCTTCCTCCTCATCCTCCTCCTCCTGCTCCCGCTCCTCCTGCTCCTTTCCCGCTCCTTCCCGCTTCTCCTCCTGCTCCTGCTCCTCCTGTTTCCCTTCGGCCCTCTGCTTCTGCCGCGCTGGGTCGAGGCTGGGGTGGCCGAGTTCGACAGCCAGGACAGCGCGAGCACCCCGAGTGCGATGCGTTGACGAGGAGGAAGATGAGGAGGAGGGTGTAGGAGGGAGGGGAGATACAGTCTTGATTGATTCAGCAGTTTGCTTGTGGTCGCTTCGGTTGTACATCGTACACTGCACCCCGTAGGTATACTATACAGTACCACGTAGCTTGCACCCTGTAGCTTGCACCCCATGGATGGCACCACACCACAGATAGTGAACAGCAAATATTGCATTTCATGCACTGCTCCCCGCAAGTTGCATCACACAGACTGCACCCCGTATATTGTGGCACACTGGTTGCACCGCCTATGTTGCACCACATTGCGTGCACCGCATGTATTGCACCGTGCGCATATGGCACCCCGCATATTGCCCAAATCTTTTGTACCAGCAGAGATTCGCCAGTACCCCCACCCCGAGGCCACGGTAATGAGGTACCTTCTGCATATTTGCCAATGTATATGTTGCGCGATCGTTCATCTTCAATATCGAATAGCATCGGCCCAGCCGATCCAGTATCGCCCTCCCCGTTAAATGCAGTGGGGCGCACACGCGTGGATATTACAACCTTTACCACAGAAAGCGATGCGGGTCACATGCGCGCGCCCGCGCGCGCTGTTCACAAGCGATACAACACCAATTCGCCTTTTACCCAACATGGCCTACTTCCTGCGCGCGCACGCACTTGCTGAACTTACGAAACCGCTATCGGTTACTCGTGTTTTTTGTGCGGTTCAGTTTGCCAATTGAAGGCCTGCGGGCCATGCGCGCGCATGTCAAACACATTCAAAAATATCGGTCACCCGCCGACTGAGTCAAATCATTGCATTTGGGCCTTTCGCGCGCGTCTCCGCGCGCGCGCGCACGTCGACCTCTTTCTGATACTATATATATAGATGTATATATATATATATATATATATCTCTCGGAGGTCGGGGGGTGAGTCCGACGTGAAACGGAGACCCCCTCTACCGGGAAATCGATTTCGGTTTCGGGTTCGTGTCGTGCGTGCCGTGCGTGCGTGCGGGCGAGGCGAAGCTGCGTGGGCGGGCGAGAGGAAATCCTCCTGTGGCTGGGCCGCGACCGGACCAAATGTAACTCCTCCGGCGACCGGTGCCCCGCGGTGTCCCGCCGGTGTCCCGCGGGTGTCCCGAAATCCTCCTGTGGCTGGGCCGCGGCCAGACCAAATGATGCTTCACCCTGCAAACGACCCCGCGGTATCCCGCTATTGTCCCGCTGGTGTCCCGCCGTGACTGCGGCGAGCTATCCAATGCAAGTCTACATGCAAACCGACATGCAAACCGAAAAGCACATCGAAATGCAAATCGACATGCACATCCAAATGCAAATCGTAAGGCGCCGTGGGTTGCGTATCTGAAACATCGGCGCCTGCGTCGAGCTTTCCAATGCAAGTCGACATGCAAATCGAGATACAGATCGAAAAGCAAATCGACATGCACATCGATATGTCGACATGCAAATCGAGATGCAGATCGAAAAGCAACTAGTCTCTACTCACTAGACTGCGCACCACAGACATCGTCAGAACAACAGTCACCACTGTTGCCCATTACTGCCCCCCCCCCCCAACCTCCTTATCACCCGCAGGGTGTTCGTGTGTGTATATATATATATATATATAAGGGGAAAAAATCACGCATCTTAAAAACGGTTGCGTCCAAAGACGCATGGCATTTCGCTGCATTTTCAGCCACACTTCTGCCAGATTTTTTGTTTTTGTTTTGTGTGCGCGCACTTGCTCATCATCCTCATCGACACCACTGTCATCGCCAGCGTCAGCGTCGTCATTGCCACCGTCAGCGTCACCATCATCGGCTTCATCGACATCACTGTCGTCTGCATCATTGGCCCCACAATCGTCATCAATATCATCATTGTCATCATCATTGTCGTTGTCGTCGCCCTCGTCATCTGCGCCACCACCACCAGCACAATCATACTAGTCATCCTCATCAGCAACAGCGTCATCATCACCATCATCATCGTCGCCGTCGTCATAATCATAATCATAATCATCATCATCATCATCATCATCATCATCATCATCATCATCATCATCATCATCATCATACTCATCCACATGAGAAGGGTCCTCGCGTCATTACGCGCCAGGCGGGCTTTTGTCAATCAGTTGCGGGTGGGTTGGTGGGACGTTTGTTCGAGCGTTGGAGTTTACGACTGCATTTTTCACAAGTGAATTTCACCGCATTCATTTGATTCTTTCATGCGTATTGCACCACATCGCGCAGCTCACACAGCATATCATGCACAACCCATCTTTCACCGCATGCACCATTCGCAGATTGCACAACACACACTGCACATCAATAATGCAATAATCTAGAGTTCGGGGTCCATGCTGGCTGACATCTGGGATCATATAACAAGGTGAAGTCTCGAATCCCAGCCTTCCCTTGCCTATCCGTTGGACTTCTCTAAGACGGACGACGAAAGGGCGCGGCAACAACAGCCACGTTGATAAATCCAACTATGCTCCAACCATCGAGTTGTTTGACAGTTTCAATGCAAATGGGAGCGGTGGTTACGCGATAACGACATCTTGAAAAGGTATTGGTGACACAGTGAGAGGCCTGCACACATAATGTGTGCGGCTCCAGTACGGGTCTAACATTTCGAAAAGCACCCGCTCTCTTCCTGTGTAATTGGTGAGGAATTCTAGGACGGCTGCGCGCGACGATTACTTGGGAATCACATTTTGGAAGCAAGCCGCCTAGCTGTTGCTTGTATGATAAGACGTATGGGTGCGGCGATAAAGCGAGAGTCACATTTCGGAGTCCATCTGCGTTCCGTCGGGTAGTTTTGTGAACATGGAGTCAAGCATGATCAGCTGCGTGGAATCTCAAACGAACCGCCCGCCCAGCCGTGCTGGCACGTTGGGTGGTGTGACGAGAAGGCATTCTTTGTTCATGTGGCTTACAACATTCTGCCAACCCCCGGAAAAAGTGAGATCTTGTCTCGATCTTGGAATCTATCCAGTAGGTCAGGGACCTCTTGGATGCATACGATGGGCTCTTGGGATGCCTCTCAGGGGTCTCTTGGAGGGCTCTTTGGGGCATCTGAAGTGTTTTTGGGGCCTCTTGGGGGCTTTTTGGGAGCGTCTTGGAGGCGTCTCGGGGCCTCTTGCGAGCGTCTCGGCGGCCTGTGGGGGACTCTTGGGGCCATTCTGGTTGGAAAGGCTCGAAATGCCAGGTTGTATTCCTTCTCTCTGGCCCCTCTGAGAGCCCTCTTGGGGACGTCTTGGGCCGTCTTGGGGGCTCTTGGGGACGTCTTAGAGCCCTCTTGGGCCGTCTTGAGGGGCCCCCTCCTGGGTCCTCTTGGAGCCCTCGTGCGGCGTCTTGGAGGCCTCTTGGGTCCTCTGGAGGCCAGCTTTGGTGTTCTTGAGGCCTCCGGCGTGTTGGAGCCCAGCTTGAGCCAGCTTACCTGGCACCTTAAGGATCATGGAGGCCACGGATCGCAGTCTCGAGGGCTCTGGAGGCCCTAGGGGGCGCCGTGGAGTCAGGCCCCCCCTCCTCCTTTAACCGGCATTTTGGACCCTGGGGGAGGGGGAAAGGGGGACGGCAACGACCACGAATCTCACACGCCTTCTCACCCAAGGCAAGCGGGGGTCGGCGGATGACGGGAAGCGCCTTCTTGGAACGAGAAGGTGATGGGAGTTTTCTAGCATTACGGGAAGCGCCTTCTCGGAACGAGAAGGTGCTGGCAGTTTGTTCGGCCAAGCTTTCTAATAATACATAACGAACTAAGACGCGAGGGACCATGGCCGCCTGATTGCAAATGCTTTTTGCTTGGCGGATTGCCCGTTTTTGGTAGTTTTCCCGAGGGTTTTTGTATGTTTTCTGGGTTTCCCCGGCAGTTTGTTAGGCCAAGCTTTCTGATACTAAATACAGAACTAAGACGCGAGGGACCATGGCCGCCTGATTGCAAATGCTTTTTGCTTGGCGGATTGCCCGTTTTTGGCCGTTTTCCCTAGGGTTTTTGCATGTTTTACGGGAAGCGCTTTCTCGGAACGAGAAGGTGCTGGCAGTTTGTTAGGCCAAGCTTTCTAGTAATACATAAAGAACTAAGACGCGAGGGACCTTGGCCGCCTGATTGCAAATGCTTTTTGCTTGGCGGATTGCCCGTTTTTGGCCGTTTTGTCGAGGGTTTTTGCATGTTCTTCGGGTTACCCCCATCGTTTTTGGCTGTTTCCCTTCAGGTTTTTGCATGTTTTTCGGCCCCCCTCCGTTTTTACGGGAAGCGCCTTCTCGGAACGAGAGGGTGCTGGCAGTTTGTTAAGCCAAGCTTTCTAATAATCAATACAGAAGTAAGACGCGAGGGACCATGGCCGCCTGATTGCAAATGCTTTTTGCTTGGCGGATGACGGGAAGCGCCTTCTCGGAACGAGAAGATGATGGGAGTTTCTAGGCTATGCTGAATACGGTATACATAAAAAAAACAAACTCGCGAGGGACAACTGGCTCGGGATGACGGGAAGCGACTTCTCGGAACGAGAAGGTATTGGGAGTTTTCTCGGCTATGCTACATAAGGTACAAATAATAGAGAACTAACTCGCGAGGGACAACCGGCTCGCGATTGAAAAGACTTTTTCGTTGGCGGATGACGGGAAGCGTCTTCGAGGTACGAGAAGCAAGCGGGACGTTCTGGCTGAATCCTTGAGTAAATATATCTTTTCTTTAACTATATGGGTTGCCGCGCTGCACGGGATGACGGGAAGCGTCTTCGAGGTACGAGAAGCAAGCGGGAGAATCCAAGCGGGACGTTCTGGCTGAATCCTTGAGTATATATATATATATATCTTTATATCTATGGGTTGCCGCGCCGCACGGGATTTTTCGTTGGCGGATGACGGGAAGCGTCTTCGAGGTACGAGAAGCAAGCGGGACGTTCTGGCTGAATCCTTGAGTATATATATATATATATATCTTTATATCTATGGGTTGCCGCGCCGCACGGGA